TTACTATTCGACCTTTTCTGTATGAATATTATTGAATGACATAATCCCTTGAGAAATTTTGCTGAAATGATGAAAAATACTCTTCAGATGGCAATTACAGTTGTTGATATGTTTTCTAGCTTTGGGACTAACATGAGTGAGTAGAAGGAGAATTGAAAGCTTTGAGTGTTTGCAAGAGTGGTTTGATAGGATGACAAGTATTAATTGAATAAGATCTTTAATATGAAGGTAATTTATTGGAAATGGATTCCAAATAAACTTGTTAGCCTCAGAGGTGAGATAATAGAATAGTCTTCTCTTTAGATTACCTGCGTGAGCACAGAGTAGATTATTAGTGATAGAATATCTTTATCACTTTATGGTAGTCTGATTTCCAGTAGTGATATTTTACTGTGTTGGTTAGGGCTTCAGCAGGCCAGTGGCCATTTCTCAAAAGCAGAATTGTATGCAATATTTATGGCTCCCTTTTCTAAGCCTATTCTTTTTTCCCATAGAGTGAACAGAATTGTGAAACTTTGCCTTATGTATAATAAAATTTGGCTATTATTCTATAGTGAGACACAGGGAAGTGGGGAGTTTGCTAACCATTGCCTTGGGCCTGAGCAGCCAAAGCATAGAGCCACCATGGTAGGACTCCAGGTTGAACCAAAGACACTAGAGAGAAGGTGTGAGAAATTTGGGGTACATAGTGAGTCTCTTCTCTTTCCTCCCCCTAAAGAAGAAAATTTTAAGTCCCCGTGAAGAGGATTTGTTCATCTTCAGTTACAGTGAGGCTGTAATCCAGAGGTCTCTAGGAGATGACTGACATGACGGGGGGGGGAGTCAGGCAGGAGTTTGCATGTGATCAGGAGAAGGGAAATGAGTGGACAGTAATGCCCCCAGAGGGCAAGAAGGAAGCCAGAGCTTTACATCTGAATGTTGCCTGATGTGCCCTTGATCACAACTTTGCCAAGTAAAAATGATAATAGACTCAGTGATGTATTCATCCCTGTTGTGGAGAAAGTTGCCATTCAAATTAATGAAGGCTAAGAAGAATCAAAGTGCAGAAAGACAGCTGTAAACAAGTCACACAAAACAGTATTCGTTTACCCAGCAGTGGTCAAACAACCGTGATGGTTACAAAGCATTTGAAATAAGAATAGACACTAATTGTTTCTTCTTTGGAGATAGGACTCATATGAACACTCAAAGGCATTGTACCGTTTGGTTATCACCCAGGCCTCCTGATTTCAGGCCAGTCCTCTTTCTAGTACACTGCTTTGTTGTGTGCGGGGTGGGGGTGAGAGGGGTAGGGGAGTGCAGAAAGAGAGTAATGGAAGGAAACACGAAGGTTTCTATGAATTTAAAAGAAGGTGACTAAAACCATGTCTTAATCTATACCCTTGAATTTATCACCCTATATATTCTGCTTTTTGTGGTTTTATTAAAGTGCAACTTTGTAAAATATTTCCTGCCAAATTGGATGTTATTATGTATAATTTATTCTATTGTTAATTGAGAGCCATTGAACATTTTGAAGCAGTGAAATTACAGTCAGTTGTGTTTTAGGCAAAAAGCAGCACTGGCTGAAAGGTAGAAATGTGTTGGAACTGAGGGAGATTGTAGAGATGCAGGACATTTAGGACAAGTTTGTGGAACTGAGACAGTGGTAATGACAATGGAGAGGGCTGGTCTTCCTGAGACATAATTTTGAGGGGGATGTATTGCACTTGGATGATAGTAGTGAAGTATAGTGATGAAATCTGAAGTTTCTAGTGTGGTTGAGAATATAGCAACTCTGCAGAACTGGAACTAGACGGAGCATCTCCTCCGTTATCACCCACAAAACAATCACTGCCAAGTCCTATTGATTAATGTTCCAAAATACACAGCAAATCCTTTTTACTGACTTCACATCCATCACTGATCCAAGCTGCCATCTTCTACCTGGACTACCGCAATATCCTTCGATCGTCGTCGTGATATTTGCCATTTCCTCCTTTCCTTCTATTTTCCTATTAAGCAGCAGTGATCCTTTTAACATGCTCTTCTAATCGGGTCACTCTCCTACCCAACGATCTTTAACATTGCCTACAGAGCTCTGTGCGCTGGGCCCTGCCTGCATCATCAGCCTCGACTCAAACCACTGTACTCTTCTGTGTGCAGCTCCAGCTGTCTGTCTTTCCCAGTGTCAGGCTCTTTCCAGACTCACTTCTTCTGCACCCGCATTGTCTGCACATGAGATGCTTTAGCCTGTCCTTTTCCCTGGCCAACTTCTTCTCCCCGTAGTCTCTGATTCATTATTTTCCTCATCAACACCTTCCTTAACGAGTCTTGTCAACTTCTCTTCAGACCTCATTGTCCTTTTACAGCAGTCGGCGGTGTCCAGCCTTTTGGCATCTCTGGGCCACACTGGAAGAAGAAGAGTTGTCTTGGGTGACACATTAAATACATTGTGATATGTAATCACAAAAAACTCAATGTTTTAAGTAAATTTATGATTTTGTGTTGGGCTCCATTCACAGCTTTCCTGGGCTGCATGCAGCCTGTGGACTGCAGGTTGGACACCTTTTAGAGAATTAGGCTCCGAAAGAGCAGGGATTATTTTCAGTTTTTTTAAATTACTAACCCCCCAATGCAGTGCTTGGTACATAGCAGCAGCTTAATAAATATATTCTAATGAAAGGTTTAATGGCTTTAACACAACTGATATGGATTGATTATATGGGCCACTAGCAATATTTAGTAAACTGTCTAGTAATTACTCAGTTTTTATATCTTTCAATTAAACAGGACATGATATAGATTGTGTTTGTGTTGACAGTTTTTTGGAGGTCAGAATAAAGACAAACATGGAATAGTCTGATGATCTGCTGGGAAAGGATAGGCCAGAAACCTAGAGACCTGAAGACATATCCTTTGCTCTTTCTTATTTTCTACCAACCACCCTGTAACCTTGATTAGCCAGGGTCATATCACAATAGAAATGCCCTGGTAAGCAATCCCAGGGGCACACAGCTATAGCAACAGAGTGGTTGGTTTTCTGTCTGACTCTCAAACCTGGGCCCAGCCACTTACCTGCTGAAATCAGGGACCATCAAGCCTGCAAAAATGTTTTGTGAGCTGTAAAACACTAAACACAGTAAGGAGCAGCATGCAGGTGATGTATCCAGTTTGCTCTTTGGAGGAACTATAAATTGTATGTTTCATTGACTTTCAGAAGAGAGGAGAGTCGTGAATTTTGTATATAAGGCTGCATTGAATGAATCAAGTTGAGCTCTTTTGCAAAGAGCTTCATTGTGATTGAATGGCTATATTGGCCAGGCAGAGAATCCCTAATTTCTTCTGCTGTGAGACTCCTAAGGAGACATTTATATTAGTAATACTGAATTTGCAAACCTGAATTTTAAAATTTAGCTCTATTTGTATTCTGTGTCTCTCTGGGAGGCATTCAGTACATTATGAAATTCTGTGCTTTTACCTCCTGCTAAGGGTTTGAGTTCTTAGCCTAATTAATCATTAAGTGTTGTCAGTCTATCATGATGTGGTTAATTATCAGAGAGAATGTGTGTGCTTCAGACAGTCATGACCCTTTTCCGGGTAACTATAGAAACCTTAGCAGTACTAGTTATTATCTAAAATTATGGCATTTGATTTTGAAACCATTTTAGCCTTTGATAGGGGAAATAATTAAATAATTGGTTATAATCTAGAAAGAAAAAGAAGTTTGCATGAAACTAAGATTTTAAAATAATTTATACATAATAGAAATGTGTTCTAAATAGTTTATGAATAATAGAAATGTGTTCTGTAGGATATTTCTGACTGTTAAGTTAAAAAGGCTTTTATACCAAGTCTGTATTTGTTACAGAGCTTTTTCATAAGCTACCGCCCCCTCCCCCATGAAAAATCTTTAGAACCATCCTGATATGAGTCCACAGTAATTACTGACTTCCGTTCAGTGCAGTGATTTTTTAGTGCATTAGAAAGAAACTGCAAATCTGGGTTGAAAGAGCTAAATTTGGGAACTTTTATATATGTGTATGTATAGATATTGATATTTATGTACATAAACAGGCAATACTGACATTGCAAAATGTTATTGGTATTAATGTATTCTTGAAGTCATAGCTCTTCAAAGATGAGAGCAGATAAAAATTTTTCCTTTCCTGTTCTGAGGAATTTCATCTAATTCAGGAAGAAGAAATAATGTCATTGCACTTTTGAATGTGAAGCTTAACAAGGATTACAGCCTGAATGGGAGCGGACATTCCCGCGGGAGTAGGAACTGCCACGCGCGCCGCCCTTGGCGTGTGGTCTTGTTCCGGGAATGGGCGGGTGGCACGGGCGCTGGAGGAGGCGGCGCTTCAGGTGTGTTCTCCTCTTTTGCTGGCAGAGTGGAGGTTGGTGATCTGTCACAGCAGTGATTTATTTTCATGTTATAATGCATAAACAAGCTTACTTTCTGCCTTTAGCTCAATTATAGATTCTTGGGAATTTATTAGAGCAGATCATTGCATTTTATGTGCAACTGTGGGTAATACACACCAAGTGCCACAATATTGGTAACTAAAAAGTTAAGTCCCAATTCCGTGAGAATTTTTAAAATACAAGTGTGTGTGTGTAAACATCTGTGCTTGAGGCGTGGGTCACTTTGTCTACTCATTCCCACTGCACAGTCTAATTCTTAAAATTAGTTTATTTCTACAGTTGTTTGTATTGCAGAATAAAGCAATAGCTTTAAAATGGATTATTTACTTCCCAGATCAAAACAAAGACCTTGGCAATGGGATCGTCAGCCTAGTCTGAGTGCAACAATGACAGACAGCAGTTGCAACAATCGCTCCCCATTGTCGAGTTTCTACTAAAAATTTAAGTATCGTTTGTTTTTGTCAGAAATGCGAGTGACTACAGATACTAATGATTTACTGATTTAAAAGTAGATGCCTGTTGAAAGGTTTCTAACCTTGCCTTTCGTTCAGTAGGGCTCTGTAATGGGTACAGCTCACCCGAGCCTGTTACTGGCTCTGTTTTTGTTCATGTGTTTTTGCGTGTCATCCTTACACAGGGGCCATGCTAATCTTCTCTGTATCGTTCCAATTTTAGTGTATGTGCTGCCGAAGCAAGCACTGTTCATGTGTTTCTTAGTGTGGTTCTTCTCCTTTGAGTCGAAGAGCGTCGTCACAGTCTGTTACATTGTTGTTTCTGTGGCATCACGAATTGTGCCATTTAAAAATATCTTAAGATGTGTTAACAGCTTTTTCAGCTGTGATCCTTGACTTAGCCTTTATTATTTACCCATTTTCTTACTCTACAAGTTTCTAGGCTAATCATGCTGTTAAAAGTTTGCTTGATGAGAAACAATAAAAATTAAATCTTTTATTTAAACAACTGAAGTGACAAATGTTGTCAACTGAGAGTGTGTTAGACTCTGTTTTGGAGAGTGTAATGTCACTGGTTTCGTGAAGCCGGAATGCTCATCAGCCTAATTATCTAAGACTCTGCCGCTCTGACTTTCCCCTGGTCTCGGAAACGACTCTCTTCCACTGCGTGTGCATGAGATTATTTTTTTCCTCCATATTAATAATTCACTTGTGAGTTTCATTCCTTGTTAAAGTGATACTGTTTGCTAAGTATATATTAAGACACTCCTGGTTGTTTATCTGCATAAATAAAGCCACACCAGTCATCCTTTTGTATAATTTTAAATCATCCATATAAAAAGGAAATTCAGTGCCACTAAAGCTATTTTTAATAATTCTGCAGAAAAGTAGTTCTCCACCAGGTCTTCTGCATTGTTTATCCTTTTTTACAATTTCCTTATCCTCCACAGTGAAGTATAAATATTTTTAATACAATATATTAATTTGCTTATTTTTATACTGTGGGTTGCTAATAATAACTTGAGCCACTTTAAATGCTGGTTAGTTCAAATTACATCTGACAAGAGGAAGGGGTGGTATTTCAGATTTGTGATTCTTTTATACTTTCAAAACACTGATGGTGTTTCAAAAATTACTGTTCCATATACCTGTTGTGGCATTTTCCTTTAATTCGGATTCGACAAGAAAATGTCTGTCCCATAAATTCTACTTTTCTCGAAGAGCTGGGCTGGCAGTGGAGGAATTTTGGCTGAGTTAGGAAACCTGATTTATCTCCTGCGGGGAGACAGTGAAGTGAGGAACTTGCCAGTGACCTTATGGAATGGTCGAAGCTGCCCTGGATGGAGAGCACCTAGAGCAGTGATAATCTGTGTGTATTAGTCAGGGCTGGTGTGGGGGGAGGTCTGCCTTCCTGGCTTGTAGAGTGCCACCTTCTTGTGCTGTCACACAGCCTGCGTGCACTCGTGGAAAGGGATCTCTGGGGTCTAAAGGATGCGTGTCCTCTTGGGTTAGAGCCCTACCCATAGAATCCCATTTAGTCACCATCCTAAAGATTTCATCCCCAGACACAGTCACACCGGGTGTTAGGATTTCCACACACTGAGTCTGGGGGCACAGTTCAGTTCATAATGCATTGCTAATACATGAGGGGTGCTTGCTAGGAGCCAGACTCTCATTTACAGACAACCTATTTTCCGGTGGAGGAAACCGAGATCCCAAGTGATTAGGCATCTCACCAAAATTCACAGATTGTAAGGGGAAGAGTTAGGAGTAAAACCCCTGTAGCCTGGCTTCAGAACCTGTGTCCTTACCTATTTCCCCCTCTGTCATTAAAATACTACTAGTATATTAATAACCTTTCCTAGTTAACTTTACTTGTGATGTAATAGTATGAGATTTCTTTTGGCTTTTATTTTTGTATAGAATATAAAGTTGGTTTCAGCTTTCTTTTCCTTTTTTTGTGGGAGGATGCATAATTCACATTTTACCTGTTGTAACAGTAGGCAGGGCAGACTCTGGAGCCACAGTTTCAGGGTTCAAAGGTGTTCTCTGCTGGAAAATAGGGAATAGAAACCCAGGACCTTGTTGGGCTGTTGTGATAGTTAAATGAGGGAACACGTCAAGGGCTTGGAATCCAGCCCAGTGCACTGCACACACTGCAGTGTGAGTGGGTGGTAAGGTGGGGCAGTAGTAAATACAGGATGATCTCAGGCCAGAGGGTTGGTTTTCCTCCCTGTCTCAGGGAAGGCTTGCCTTGTGGAAGTGCTTTGTTACAGATCTGATGTGCCTGCTTACTCAGGACAGCACAGGCTTTCTCCACAGGATTTGTATGCTCTGGCAAACTTGCCAGATAGGCAGGTCTTTACAATGGGAATGCGGTTTTCAATTTTTTTACTCTAAATGACTGAGATATTAAGAATTATTTTGGTTTGTTTGTTTTGAGCAGCAGGTTATTAAATTCCTATTATGCAGAAGATCTTTATAAGTTTTATACTTAAAGGACAGCCTGTGCCTTTCTGGTACAAGACTAGTACCCAAAGTATCTAACAAATCAACGTTCTCAACTTCCATGCGCCCCTGACGTGGCCATCTCTCTGGGGTGCTCCTTCTGTGCCCAGACACTGACGTTTCCTTTCACTGCCACAGATTCTACTTCTGTGTGAGCAGAGCCCTTGCTACCCTTCTGCTATTTCCCTTCCCAGCTCATCCCCAGTTCCGTTTCTACAGGACCTGAAGCAGTGGGGTGGAGACTAGGAAGGGGAAGGAAGACTCCAAAAGGAGAGGGGAGAGCCAAGGCAGACCCTTCTGCCTCCTGCCTCTGGTCTCCTGGGCTGGTGGGCACCAAGAAAGCAGGGAATATTCTTGACTGTTTCTTAGTTCCCCCAGGAGAAATGTAAATATACAAGCCATTATTATTTTTTGTGCCAAGAGTCAGGCTCAGTGGGTTCACAGCCCAGTGGGGGGAAATGACATGACCGCGTTCATACATGGTGGATATAATGCCAGGGCGGAAGGAACCGATTCTGCTTTGAGATGCTGGAAGCTACCAACGAGAAGAGAAATTGTTGTTGAGTCCTGAAGGTTGATTGTCAAGTTTAGTGGCTCCTAGGTATAACTGAACTCGCCCTTAGTCATCTTATGTGGCAAATAGCCATTCCTGAGCTAGTCCTGGAACCAAATACCAAGGATAACATTGCTTCTGGGGCAGATTGTTTCTGTTTTAGACACTTGATTTGCAAATGTAACTTTGGTATACAACCCACTTACAAGTTCATATGATTGTTTTTATAACTACTCATATATTACTAAGACTTCATTGACAGAAATGAGATTTCTGGTCAAGTTTACATTGATGTTTTTCAGCATTGGTAATAGAGTTATACTGCCCCATTAGCTGTACAAAATCAAACACTTAGTTAAATACAGTGACTGCGAAACTCTAAGCACCGATAATGATAGGTAGTATACAAATAAATCACAATACAAATATCATAAAACAACTACCCAAACTGAAAGCATGATTATATTTTACCTACTGTTTATACCGTAAGAAAATTGTATTTCTAAAACCTTAATCAGTTTTTACTAATAAATTTTCATTAATCTGTGATCATCCCTTTATATCTCGTAATACTTTTCTCATCATCTGAGGTTCTCCAGTCTACCTCTGCTCCTAGGAACTGGGTAAGTTCTCTTCCTCCTGTGATCTGGCACCTCTTTGTACCTGCAATATCCCTTCTCCACCCTCTCCCACAACTTTTGGAATCCGTGACATTGATTGTGAGCCAGCACACACTGAGGCGCGCCAGGCTCTCTGATCTCTGCGCTTCCCTGTCTCCTCACCGCCATGCCCAAGTTGGCAGCTCCTCCTCTTCTGGGACTCAGAAGTCACATCTCCTTGGCCATTCTTCCTGACGTGGCACTTCAGGACTACATAGGTGCTCCTGCCATACTGTACCAAAAATGCAGACGGGGGCCTTCTTACAGGGCCGCACAGGTTCGTTCCCTTATCTAGGACACTAGACAGCTTGTTTCCCATTATTTCATTTCTGACACTTTAGTTTAGTAAGAGGTACTCAGTAGATATGTACAAGTTGAATAAATCAGTAGGTTCTTATTTTTACCTCTTCTCTCTACAAACTTTTAATGAACTGATAGCTGGAGTCTTCATTTGGGTACCATGAATGCATCAAAATGTATAGATGTGTGAAACTAAAAAATTGCTCCTTTCTTAATTTTGGACATGACATAAATCATGTGGAGTGGATTATTCAAGCAACATTGGAAACTAGTATATGGTGATAGGCATAGCCTGCCTCTCTGGGACCTTACAGTCAGGAAATTCAAGGTGTGTTTTTTACACAGACTTAATCTGGTCCTTGAATTCCTTTATTTTGGATTCTGAAAAATGAGTCTCAGTCAAACAACGAATGCCTTTCTTGTGCTAAGGTGCTTCCTGTTTGCCTTCTGTTTGCTTGTTTGGTTCTTCTCCTTTCTGGGAATTGCTGGAGCTCGGAGCTCCAGTGACCTGCATGCCCTGCAGACCGCACATAGTGGCCTGGATTTACTGCCGTTTCCTTGGATGGCAATGAGCTAAACATTTGAAAAATTACTGCATCTCAGGGCACCAAAGGAGGTCACTGGAGCTTAGTCTGGCCAATATGTTTTTTTGTCCTATATATTTTCCCTTGTCTGTATGGCTCTGGGCTTCTTAGGAATTTATAAAGAGTATGGCCTTTTTCTTAACTTAAAAAAAATCTACATTGATTTTTCTTTAAGAAGCAAATAACAAAACAGCACAACTAAAACAAGTTATTTTAGAGATGGTACATGACAGTGCCACCAATGAAAGGAAAAATGATACTCATCATAATACAGGTACCCTGAGCATCAAATACTGTGAAAATTGCAAGCCTTTGGCTCCCATTCCCAATGTAATTATGACAAAAATATCAATAAGACTAAAGACTATTTTCCAGCCATGGTCCCTGAAATGATTATGACTTAGAGGGCTGCTTAGTTCTCTAAGCACATAGGACGTCAATATTTTGTTTTGTTTGAGTCCAGATCAACTAAACAGACTTGTTTCTTGTTTGCACAGCTTTCAGCATCAATTCATCAAATTTAAAAGGATTAATTCTTCCTAATGGCAGCCTAGGAGCTCCTCAGCGTATCCTTTTGAATCCCAGAGCGCCGTGTTTCTCACCCTGAGAATAGGGGTCTCGTCTCCTGCGCCATGTTTAGCCT